GAGCTCAGGTCGGGGGTCTGGGCTGGAGATTGCTGTGAGGAGGTGGAGGGGAGAGATCCCCCAGGCCGACTCGGAGTTAAGACTGGGAAGAGGCCATTAGAAGTTGAGAAACCAGAGAAAGGCTTGGAGGAAAACCAGCGGGGAGAGCAGCCCAAAGGAAGGAATGGTCCGAGAGTCAGTTCCACAGAGAGGTCAGGAAGGCCAGGAGCGGCCTCTGCAGGAGCACTTGTAATGGGACAGAGGGGCTGACATCCTGTCCTGCGGGTGGAGGAGTCAGTGAAGGTGAGAACTTACAGAGACAGAACGGAGTCCCGTGCTCCGGAGAGGCCGAGTGGGAAGGCGGAAGCCGTGGCGATGACCAACGGAGGTAGCCAGGCAAGCACAGCGTTAAAGGAGTGTTTTATTCGAGTCAGTGTAAATGCTGAGGGGACGCAACCAGTGGGGAGGGGTGGGCAACGAAGTGTCCCAGTGTGCCCAGCTCTTTCCTGGGTTTAGCACTGAAAGTCCCATGTCCTGGGAATCCCCACAGTTCTGGGGAAATTGGGAAACTGGGAGGGTTGGTCACCCACCTCGACCAGAGAAAGGTTGGGAAGGGGAGGGAGGGAAGATGGGCGGAGGGGGCCCTGGCAGGGATGGGGTATCGATAGGTGCAGAGGAGTCTGTGGGAGGCCTCCGCTGTCCCTGTGAAGAGGCGAGGTCATCTGAGGCAGTGACAGGTGAGGGGTGGTGGGGGGTGCTGAGGAATGCTGGGCACAGCTGCCCTGGGGCTGGGCTACACAGGGCCGGCCATCTTCTCTGTCCAGCAGACCTGTGGCCCCACCTTTTCCTGTGCTCCCCACCCCTCCCCATAACCATCTCCTGTCTGTCTCCACAGTCCCCACCCTGTGAAGCCCCTCAGTGCTGCCCCTGTGGAGGGCAGCCCCGATAGGAAGCAGCCCCGTTCCAGTCTGAGCACAGCCCTGAGCAGTGGGCTGGAGAAGCTGAAGACAGTGACATCTGGCAGCATTCAGCCTGTGGCTCTGGCCTCCCAGATTAGCCAGACTGTGGACACCAAGAGGCTGAAGGTGAGGCCTAGCAGGATGCTCCGGGGATCAGACCAGATGTGTGGTGCTGTGGAGAGAGGTGTCTTGAGGTCAGAAACAGGGTGCTGGGCAGGGCAAAGCAAGAAGCAGACCTGGTCTCACACCGGGGCCCTGAAGCCATTAGGGACAGAGGCGGCTCCAGGAGACTGGGGTGTTGGAGGGCAGGTGGGCAGGCAGGCCTGAGGGTGTCCTGCTCACTTTTATTCCATCTGACCTCAGGATTCCGGTGTGCTGGACCAGTCGGCCAAGTACTACCATCTGACCCACGACGAGCTCATCGGCCTGCTCCTGCAGCGGGAGCGGGAGCTGAGCCAGCGGGATGAGCATGTCCAGGAGCTGGAGAGCTACATTGACCGGCTGCTGGTGCGGATCATGGAGACCTCACCCACACTGCTGCAGATCCCCCCCGGCCCCCCCAAGTAGCCCTCTTCAGCCGGCACCCCCCAGGAGAGTTGGCATGGACCCACTGCTCATCAAACAGGGCTCAAACCCTCCCTACTCCTTCCTGTCTCACCCTCACCTGGGGCAGGTCTGTCCTCTGTTGTCGCCCCTTGCTCCCCCTCCCTCCTGCCTCAGCTGGGGCTGCTGGAAGGAGGGCCTTTGGACTCCCATTGGAAATGGGTCTTACCCACCTATTTTCATACCCTTTAGCTTTAGGGAGCTCCAGAAATTGGAAAGAATTTAGCCCTCAAGACAGAGCAGGGGTGAGCTGCAATTTGATGAAGACATACTTTATTACCCCACAGGATGGGCAGCCCTTTCTTCCCCAGCTAAACCCTTGTCCTCTAAGTCTCCCTCCAGCCCCTGGAGGGCTCCTCGTATTATAGGGCTGCGGCAGGGACGAAGCTGCCCATCTGTCTGTGAGTTATGGGGAACCAGGCACCTGCTCTTCAGCCTCACATCCCGGAGAGCAAGGAGACTGTCTGGTCTAGTGTCGTGTCTGCGGTGTCCTGAGTCTGTCTGTCTCCAGCTATTTGTGGAGCAAATGTGGTGCGGATGGAGGGAGATAATGTGTGTTCTCCAGGCCACTCTGTGTGCTGTTGTTCTGACCTTTCTGTGAGTGTCATGTGTGAATGTGTGGAGAGCTGGGCAGGTATGGGGAGACTACCTCCTCACCTACCTCCAAGGTGTGGGCCCCTCCAGGCCTTGGGGCTTTGGGTTTATGTTTGAGGATCAAGCCTCCATCCTGGTTCTTGTTGCCTGTTCAGATGTCAAAACTCTGCTGCTATAGGGTTTGAACTTTGGGAAACTGATTAAAATGTGCCTTTTGTGGGTGGGGTCATGAGCCACTGATTGTAGACCCAGCCCCCTGTTTGGCGCCCCATTCCTTCCCTGTTGAGCACAGGGGGCTCTGTCTGACAGGACCCCGGGAACGGAAACGGAGGATGGGGCAGCCCTGCTGCGTGCTCTGTCCTCCCCTAGAGTTAATTTCAGCTAAGGGTCTGGCCGAGCTGCAACTCCCTTAACCTAGGGTCTGGCCAAGCTGCAACTCCCTTAACCTACCTGCTGTCTTCTCTTACTCCCTCAGTACCAACTGAGGGGAAGGTTTGAAGGAGGAAAAAAACTACATTCTAGAGGTGGGAGGTCCCACTTTGCCTATACTTAGGAAAAAGCCTTTGTTGTCCTCCCATCCATTCAGCCTGCCCCTTCTGCCCCATGGCCTTGATTGGCTTGGCTGCAGTGCACTTTGAAATGGAGTATCTGTCCTTTGGTCCAGCCCTGACTTGCTTGCAGAAAGACAGCAGGTTTCCCCATGGCATCTGCCAGGGACTTTTGGTGGCTTGGGGCACCCTGCCATGGCAAAGTTCTGGGGTGAGGTGAGACCTCCTCTGGGATCACTCAGAAAGCCTGGGAAGGAGATCGGCTCTGTGAGGGATGTCTTCTGTCAGGATGAAGCACAGGAGCCCCACATATCAGGGAGAGCCCCCATAATGTTATCTACCTTAAGGAATACTCATCAAAGCTAAGGAAAGAGTCCACAGGTACCTAGGACTTCGGTCATGTGTTTTGGACATCATTGGGGGTTGGATGGGTATCACTTCTGAGGGAATGGGGTCACTCCTCTATTAAGTGTCCCTTTGTGCTCTATTCAGTCCCAGCACTGACACTGACCTTCCACTCATCCTTGTGAATGGGCTTCCAGAACGCCCAGGTCAGGGATGTCTTTGGAAGAGTTTGGAGTTGAAGCCCAAGATTCTTGCTGGGTGTTTTGCTCCTGGCCACCAAGTGGGAAGAGAGCTGCAGGTGGGATGGGCAGGGAGTGGGCACAGTTCTGCTTTGCCGTTTGTCTTTCTAGTTGTAACTCCTGTTTATAAAGAGCTTGTTCTTCATGTTTCGAGCACTTTACGAAGAATAAAAAGTTCATAGACTGCAGGTGGCTCTGCTGTGTTCCTGGTTTGATGAGCATGTGCAGCAGGCTTTCTGGGGGAGAAGGCAGGTGATGGACTCTTGGATGACACTGTCCCTGTCCTCACATCAGGGCAGCAGCACAGGGCTGCCCAGGGGTGGCCAGGACTCAGTCTTTCTCACTCCCAGGACACCACATATATTAAGTACTGTGGGGATCCACCACAATATCTTATAGAGGATAGAAGACTTGATTCCTACTCTCAAACCACTTAGTCTAGTAGGAAAAGGTAAGATACAAACCCAAGGTACAAATGGTTCATGGCTAGCTAGAATCTCTGTCCAGCTTTAGAGCAAGTCTGTTTTCTTGTGGTTCAGTCATTGGAGGATGAGGAGAAACTGACTGCTACAGAGCATGCATTGTTCAGAAAATACCGGGCGGGCAGGAGCCAACCATACACTGAACCACAAGACTAAGGAGACCCAAAGTAGCTTTCCCTAGGGTCAAAACCAAATATTTCTACTGCCCTCTTGTGTGAAACAGGCAACTCCCCCTCTTCTTCCCCCATTGTGTCCATTATCCCTGCTGGTGTGTTGCCCTACATTCTGCAGTATGCCCCCTAAAGCTTGTGTAGTGCTTGATAAACCACACTGAACCCCACTCCCAGATCTCTGCCTAGGAATTAGCCGCGGGAGGGATCTTCCTTGGCAAAAAAAAAAAAAAAAAAGAAAGTGGAGGCTGCTAAGGGTCCTAAACAGTCACACCCCCTGCCTGCCCCCCCCCCCCCCCCACTGCGGGCTTAGTGAATCAAGAAGTTACTCCTGCCCTCTGGACCTTACAGTACGAAAGACAGATACTCAAAACCATAACTAATAAACGCAAGGGCTGCAAAACTGGGTGCCATAGGAGCATGTAGTGGGTTTCTGTGGAAGTAGGGCGATGGATTGGGAAAATGTTTAGGCTGAGGCCATAAAGAGAGCTAGCGTCAGGCAAAGATAAAAAGTTACAGTTTTCTGGGTACAGAATGTTTGCGGGTCATGGGTCATGGGCAGGGCACAGCGTATTTCAGGAACTGTTAGGATGGCTGTAGAGCACAAGGAGAGGCAGGGTAAAAGAGAAACTGCATGAATATTCCGCAGTGCAACTCCCTGCAGAAAGCCTTTAACCCTCCTCCCCCTGGAGTTGCCCATCCGATCCTGGGTTGGACCTGCTTGGGCTCTTCTGAGCTGCAACTCCGGGAGCGAAGTTCACTACAGAAACTCAAACTTCTAGGGGCAAGTAACCAGCGAGGGGGGCGCTCTGTGACTCTCTTAGTCCGGATCTTAAGAATCGTACATACACAGTTTTCCCGGACAGCAAAACTGGCGGCCCGGAAACCAAATCCAGGTCTTCGTCTGTGCAAATCTGCAGTCAAGGGCTGTGGAGTGTCGTGACGAGGAAAACTACACACCCCACAACACCTTGCGCCTCCTGTTCGCTGCGGTCACTTAAGACCAATCACAAGAGGCATCTGTGGCGGGGGCCGAGGAGGGACATTTTAAAAGGGCCGGAGCTTTCGGGCGTCAGTGGCCATGGCGGATACAGCGACTACAACATCGGCGGCAGCGGCAAGTGCCGCTAGCTCCTCGAGCGATGCACCTCCTTTCCAGCTGGGCAAACCCCGCTTCCAGCAGGTGAGGATCGGGTTGTGGTCTGAGGGTCAGCGGGTGGCACATGGAGGAGGAGCAAACTCCTCTTCAAAAACCCCCTCTAGCCCTAGGGTCTCGGACCCGCGGCCACCCAGAAACCTGCCGCTGCTGGTTCGGGGACCTGGGCCACTGCAGCTCCTTTTCCATTGGTCAGCGGGGTGGGCGAGGACTCTGACTTTGGCTCCCTATTGGCCTTCGGCTCCGTCGCTCTGCGGCTGCCCGCGCCCTCCAGCCTTTCCCTCCGGAGGTGCTCTGTGATTGGCCGCTTTCCCCGCGGCCCGGGATGCGGCCGCCGGGGATGCGGCCACTGACTGGTCCCAGCGGTTTTTGCAGGGGCGCTTTGGTCTGTGTAGCTGCCCACTCGGGGCGGAAAGTTCGAGTATGGTCTGGATGAGAAGTTGCCGAGGCCGAGATGCCTTTTGACTTTTTCCCCGGCTGGGGACTGACAGTCTTTGCGAGTTTCTGGAGGAGCCTCCGGGCATCATCTGTGTCTCGCGGTCACGCTCCCAGCCTTACACCCTGACTGGGTCCGCTGTGCGCCACGGGTCAGGGCCACAAGCCGAGGGATGCTTGCGGCCTGCTGACTCCGGTCCCCTCTGGCGGGTGATTCGCTGACGCAGCTAGTCGGTCGACTGGTTCCCTGCCTGGGATGGAGCGAGGACTTGCGGGGAGAGCCGGGTGGGTGCGGGGGAAACGCTGTGTCATCTGCTGGGGCAGGCGGCTGCTGGGAGGGTCAACGTCCCGGGGAGCGTGCACCAGCCTCCTTCCCTGTGACCTCGGCAGAGTCTCCGCACCCGAGCCCAGGCTCTGCCAAGCGCTTGGCTCTGTGTGACCTTCTCAGGCTCTTTGGGACACCGCGAAGGTGGTCCTTTTCTTCCCGGGCCCCCGGCGGGGCGTCACTAAGTCATTCTCGGTCTCGGAGACCGGGATGGAACCTGCAGCTGGGCTAAAGGTTGGGAGGGGCCGTTCCCACCGCTTGGGCAGCTGCATTTGCCCGGGCCCTGGTTCCCTCGAACCTCGGTTGAACCTAGGAAATGGACTTTATTAGGAAAAGGGCAGAGAGACTTCGCTGAAGTGAAACTGGGGTGGGGGACTACGGAGGTGGACAGAAAAGTTTGCAGAAAGAAAGGAAACGTACAAAGGTCAGTACCGCGAGGTTTTTGTTGTTTTTCGATGGTGGTGGTAGTACAGAAACTGGTTCCAGCAAGGTGGTGCACCGAGCTTCGCTGATAATTAAGGAGCTGTGTCCCTGAGCCTTCTGAGAAAATGCCTCTACTGTTTTAAAATATAACTTTAATTTCTTTTAAAAATAAACCATCTCAGCACATAGGTGTCTAAGGTAACATGGGGGTCTTCCTGCCGGTGTAGGGTGCCACCAAAGGCGAGACTCCCAGGAGCGCTGCTGTTTGCACTTGAGTGACCCCTTCTTTGGCTCTCTCCCTTTCCTGGCCCTCGGCAGTGGTCAGGGCTTAGTCAGGCCTACCTTTTCCCTTCTTCCTCTGTGACCTTACCCAGTAGTGGGACCCAGGGCACCGACTCCCTCCTGCCTACCTCTTTGGCCACTCCCACTGGGGTGATTACCAGTCACCCTGCCCTATGGTCCTCCGATAAGTCTCCGTTTGGCCACTTGGTCTCCTTAACCCGTGTGTGCACCTTTTGAGTGACAGGGCTGACCTTTGCCCCTATGTTGTTTCCACTGAACCCTGATCTGGGGCTAGACACACAGTAATGTGCTGAGTAAAGGTCTGGGGGATGTATTTGCCCTGGAACCTGTCCTGAGGCATTCAGTCACACAACAGACATTTGTCAGGAACATCCAAGTGGACTGAGCCCTTTGCTGTGAACACCACCGGAGCCATAAATAAACACTGGAGAGTACTCTGTTCCAGCGGCCATTGCTGGGATCTCTTTTTGGTACCGCTCTGGAAGGCAGTAACAGAGTTTGCTTTTGGAGTGCTCTTCCTCCAACATAGTGACCTGCATAAAGCACTCATCCCTGTGAAGGAAGTCCTCTTTACTCCCCAAACCTGTTCCGTTCCGTACCAACCGCTCCCAGCTGTGCAGGCAGCCCAACCTGCCACCCAGTTGACTCCCAAGAAACCTGGAGTCCCATGTATATTTCCCTTCCTCTCCCTCACTTTTTAAATACAACCAGAGGTCCAGTGTTCTCATCTCTTAAACAGCTATCAAATCCACTGGTCTCCACCAGGAGAATCCTAGACCAGTCCCCCATTGTCTATCTCCTGGACCGCCTTGGGAGCCTCCTAACAGATCTCGCAACTACCACTTTCAGCCCTTTCTCTTCTTCGTGGCAGAATTCCAGTGCAGGTCTGCTCAAGCGACTCCCCTCCCCCAAACTTAAACACCCTCCAATGGCTTCCTCTGCTTCTGAAGTAAAGACCTCACTTTTCAAGGGGCCCCAAAAGCCGACAAGACCCACTCCTGCTGAGCTCTTCTTCCTTGACTGGAACCTCCACCCATCTCTCAAACCCTCTTTTCACCACATTGCCTGCTTTCAGCTCCTTGAACCCTGATTGATTCATAGTCCATGGTCCATTCCCAGAGCCCACATCGGAGACACCCTCTCAGTCCCCAGCGGGTCTCACCACTTTCTGCAAGAATGGGTGCCAAGGTCTTTCCTTATTCCCTGGAGTTGCCCCAGACCTTTTCTCCTTTCATCCTTCCAGGATCTCCCTGCACAGGAGGGCAGGCAGGGAAGCAGGGCACTGAGCAGCATCTGAGGGTGGAGACGGATAGCTCGCCTCTGTGCTTTTGGTCTGTGATCATCTTTCTCCCCATCAGATGATGATGACGATGGTAGCCAAGCACTGTTCCAACGTTTTTGTGTATTGACTTATGTAATTTTCATGAGGGAACAGGTAGTTATCCCTTATATTATCAGTGAGAAAACTGCAGCACACAAACAGATTAATTTCCTTCCTAGGCATTCTGGTTCTAGAGTCAGTGTTTGTTTATTGTCAAGTTTCTCAAACAATTTCAAGAAAGCCTTTGGGCCACAGGTTCGATGAGTGTTTTATTCCTAAGCACAGTGATTTAGAGGTCTGGGTACAGGCAGGCTATAGGTTCCTTCCCAGACCATTGCCCTCAGCTGCTGCTTCCACGGCCCACAGGGTGCTGGGGGTGGGAGGGCTGTGTGTACTGCAAGCCCCAGTCTCTGCTGAGAATTAGCTGACTCACCTTTCTTGTGAAAGGAACTGGAAGGAATCACTTGGCTGACTCATTCTTCAGGTAAAGGAAAAAGAAAGGAAAAACATCCACTGACTGTCTGATTGGATAAAGAGGGGGGCTGAATTTTGGAGAGGAGAAAAAGGCCATACCTTTTAAACTATTGAGAAAGTAAAAATTAATTAGACTGAGAAAGTAGAAACCTTTACTGCCATTCATTAGGCTGAGAGGACAGGCATTAAAGCAGCTACAAAAGCAAAAACAAAAACAAAAGAAGACAGGGTTTCTCACGAGGATCTGCTGTGTCTAGAAGGTGTCCCAGCAGCCTTCTTCTGGAGTTACCACCACTCTCCCGTATCCACTGAGAAATCACATTCTCCAGCATCTCTGGGGGCTCTTCTGTAAGAGCACTAACACTGCTCACAAAGGCTGTGCCCTCTTGTCTAACCGCCTCCCAGCGGCCCCCACTCTGGTACCATCACCTCAGCCATTAGGATTTAACCTATGAATACTGGCCAGGGGTGGGGAGGTGCCACAAAAATTTAATCTATAGAAATAACCATAGTAGAGTTACTAGATTAAGGACATTTAATGTGGATGCAGTACTTTTATTAATGTATGACCGACACTGTTGTCAATTGTCTCAGTAATGTCCCTGAGATGATCATTTCTTCCTCCCCTTCCCATCCAGATTCAGTCCAGAGTCACGGGTTGCATTGCGTTGTCCCTTTAGTTTCCTAAAAGGTGGGCCAGTTCCTCAGTCTTCCTTTGTCTTCACGACATTGACGTATTTGATGAATAAGGCAGTTATTTAATGGGATGCTTCTTGATTGGGGGCTTGTCTGATGTTTCTTCATCATTAAGTTCCTTCCAGAACACTCTATAGCGTTATTGTGAACTTCTCGAGGTATCGCAGCTGAAGGCACACAATGTCCATCTGCCCCTCATTGGTCCTTTTAATATGTCCCCACCTTTGGGGGGATGGTACTTCATTACTTTCTGGTGTAACAAAATGCATCAGTCGCATCTTATACCTTCTCAGCCCCAGCTCTGGAATTGGCTATTTTCAAAAGAACCCTGATTCACTTAGTGGGCCAGAATCTAGATGTCATTCTGACTCTTTACTATCCATTCGCTCTCCATCTTGGCTCTGCTTATTTCCTTGTCTATTAATTGGAATCATCCTCCTTACATGCATTTCATGCCATCATAACCATTTTTTCCATGTCATAAATGTGTGAAACATGATTTTAAATGGCTGCATAGTGTTCAGTCACCGTCCACCTTTACAAGTAATGCAGTGTCGAGCACCCTGGCCAATTTCTGAATGTCTCTAATTGTTTCCTTAAACTAAGTTATCAGAGGTGGAATTTTGCCAGGACAATGGTGTGAGCACCATGGTTTAGGCCATTTGAGTCACCCGAGTTTAGAGAAGCCAGTTTTTGTCAGGCATGGTGCTGAGGCTTGGTCTGGTCTGTGAGAGGCAGCAGCCCTCAGCAGGGCTGGAAGTAGCAGGTGGAGAGGCCGCCCCCGGGAGGTGTGCCACGGTGAGCGGCAGTGGGGGCAGCGCGGGGCCTGGTGTGTGCAGGGGGCTTTGAGGTGGTGCGGGGCCTCCCACAGGCTCTTTGTCGGGAAGGAGAAGGAGCAGAAGTGGGCTGCAGGGTCTGGTTTCCTAGCGAGTAGGGGAGGGAGTGTGGAGGCTTCTGTTTCCTCCACTACGTGAAGGCTGCTGCTTGGAGAGCTCCGAGGGTCCGTGGAGGGTCTGGGGCAGAGTTTGAGAGGCATGAAGCCCCAGCACTCGCAGCTTTTCCCTTTGTCCCCTAGCTTGGCATCCTCTCTCCTCCCCCTCTCTCCTTTCCTTGAGCTTGGCTTTGCCAAGCTGGCTCTGTCCCTAGGACAGAGGGCCCAACAGCAGGGTTGCCCGGTTTCCTTTCATTGTGCTTTAATGCTTGTGGCCTGCTTTGCACAAAGCTCTTCTTTCCCAGCGACCCTTTTCTGGGGAGTTGGCTCCTCATCGCGGGCCTCACAGCAACTCCAGAGCTATGGGGGAAGGAGGGCCTCAGGGCTGGAAGCAGAGTGCTATGGTGCTTGAGCCCATAGCACTCGGAGAGCCTGTGGGGAGCTGGACCTCGGAGAGGCACCTACCTTCACTCGATAGGCCCTCAGCAAGGCAGGGTAGCTGTGGTGGTGGGGGAAGGCTGGGACAGGGCAGGGGACCAGGCCTTCCTACCCTCCTGTGTGCATAGTGGTGGTGGGTGGGGAGCTGTGGGAAAGCTTGGAGTGGATCTTGGCACTGAGAGGAAAGGGAGGAAAATGGGAGGCCCCTTGCAGAGAAGTTGGGACTGTCGCTGATTGCCTTACTGGTCTTTCTGAATTGATGTTAGAAAGTCCTCGGACTGGGAAAGCTGCCCTCAGGTCCCTGGGCAGTGAGGCCTCATTGGTATTCACCAGCCATGTGGGTTGTCCTGGGGACTGGGGCGTGGGGCCCAGCAGTTGGGGTGAGCTGTGGCGGGAGCTCCCCAGGGGCCGGAGGGTGGTCTACAGCAGCTGACCTCCTGTCCTCTCCCTCCCCTTCTCCAGACCTCCTTCTACGGCCGCTTCAGGCACTTCTTGGACATTATCGACCCTCGCACCCTCTTTGTCACTGAGGTAAGTCCTGGCTGTCACTGTCGTGGAGACCGGTGGCCTTTATACCATGTCACTTCCGAAGATCTGTGAGTCATCTGTGCATAGTTTGTATGCATTATCTCACTTCATTCGGATGTCACCCCAGCCCTTCAAGGTAGGTCTATCTCATCATCATCATTTCCAACTTTAATAAAATTATCCCCAACTTCCCAAATTACATGTTCCTTACAAAAGTTTAAACAGTGTAGATGTGTTTAAGTAGATCAAAAAGTATCTTTTATACGCTCTTCCTACCCAGTTCCTTTCTCTCATAGATAATTAAGGTATAATTTTCCTTTTATATAAGAACCATCCTGTGAATTTTTGACAGACACATTCAGTCATGAAGTCCCCTACTCAAAACAAAGTAGAACATTTCTATCACCCTAAAATGTTCTCTGATGCCCACTGGTAGTCAGTCTCCCCTGCCCAGCCCCTGGCAACCACTCACCTGCTTTCTGTCCCTACAGTCCTGCTGTTTCCAGAATGTCATATAAATGGAACACAACATTTCCTTTGCATAATGCTTCTGAGAGTCATCCGTGTCGTTGTGTGTATCAGTGCTGCAGCCCTTTTCACGGCTGAGTAGTATTCCTCCGAGAGGATATTCCAGATCTGTTTGTCTACCCACTCGCTGATGAACACCTGGCTGTTTCCAGTTTTTGGCTATTGTAAATAAAACCGCTATGAGCAGTCTTTGTGTGGATGTATGTTTTCATTTCTGAGAAAATAATTAGGAATGGGATCGCTGGCTCACATGTAAGTGTGGTAAGTGCATGTTGAACTTCATAGGAAACTGACCAACTTGTTCAGAGTGACTCCACATTTTACACTTCCATCCACGATATTCCAGTTGCTCTCCATCCTCACCAACATCTGGTATTGTCAAATCCAAATCACGTAAGTTTACTTCAGCTACCCCAAGAGGTGTGTCTTTGTAGCTTTTGTGTATGTATTTACAAATGTGTGTAGGAATGCATTCAAAATAGCAAAGATTTATTAAGTACTTACTGTGAGCAAGGCAGTGTTATAAGCATTTAAATGCATCAGCCCATCAGAGGGACCCGTGAGGTAGACAGGACTACAAGCTGCATTTTACAGGTGAGGAAACAGACAAGTTGAGTCTCGTGAGCGTGGGACTGGCCAGTGATGGAGAAAGGGTATGAACCTAGGTAAGTTTGTCTTCAGAACCCTGATTCTTAGCCGGTTTGCTTTCTTGCTCAGGTAGCTGAGTTTAGAGAACTCTCAAGATTACTTGGTGGGCAGAGGCCTGAGTTCTTGCCCTGGGCCGCAAACCCCAAGGGAAGTCGCTGAGCCTGTTAGTGGGCTCCCCGAGTGGACAGCTCTTCCCTGCACATCTTCCCTGTGCTGAGCACCGCCTTGGCCCAGAGTTGACCATCTTTGGGAGGGAAAGGCCTTGGAGGGAAGAAGCCCAAGGCCTGCTGGGCACCTGGGCCTACAGCACCCCCCCTGTGCCTGAGGGAGCAGCCCAGTAATGTGCAATGTGGGGATTCATCTGATCAGGGAAAAAAACTCCCAGGGGGAGTTGCCCAGTGGTGATCTGATAGGCAGGCGCAGCAGGCTCAGGCCTTTTACTTGCTGGCCCTACCCGGCCCTCTGGGCCGGCTGCCTCCTGAGGGCAAGGCCGCTGTACTTTCTGGCTCTGACTGGATTCTCCTGAGGGGCTGTCAAGGCGCTCACATAAAAATTTGGGAGGACATGAAACTAGAGAAACTACTTACCTAGCCTAGATTATGTGTCTTTCTAGAAAGTTCCAAAATGCTGCAAAACTAGATACAGTTGCCACACAAATCCCAACATAAATGCTACCTGCTTGATGGGAGAGTCTGCAGAGGCCAGTGCTTCCCTCAGAGGGTGGAGGTGCGAACCGTGGACTGTGAGGTGTTGAGAGATGACGGAGGGGGACTAGGAAGGTGGGGGGTATTTCAGGGCTGCCCGGATTACCGGCAGGGGCTTCGGGGATGGGTGGGCGGCCACAGCCACCTGCTGCCTGTGCCAGGGGCTCCCACCGCCCTCCTCTGCGGCCCACCCCCTTCTCGCCCGCAGACTCCGCCCCTGCACCACGCCCTCTTCAACTCTTGTATTTTGAAAGGCCCCAGCATTCCCGTACCTCACTCAGCCATTTGGATCTAAACACCATTTCGAAGTACAGAAGTCTCATACTTCACTATTAATTGAAGTGTCAGAGCAACTGAACTATTTCCTAACTCAAAAATAAAACCAATGCAACAGTAGTTTTAGAGTATTTTTCAGGTTTCACATGTTTCCTCCCTTCATCTAAGATTATGATAGATTTCCCCCCCAAATCTTCACCTTTCCCCTGCCACTACCCTCTCTGCCCACACACACACCAGGTGGGGCCTGTTTCCAGTGCTGCCTGCCGGCCTTTTGGAAAGCGTCTGCCCAAAGATCTGCCAGTCCCTAAAAGTCTGGAAGGGCCCTGAGTGGGGCCTTCAGGCCCTCGCTAGTTCTCGCCCAGGCGTGCGGCTTAGCAAGGCCATCTGCATGAACGGAATGAGAAGTCAGAGGCACGGAGAGGAAAAGGTCTCAGCTGAGTCCCTCCCCCATGGGCTGAGGCCCTGCCAGGAGGACCGGCCTCTGGCTTCTGCTGCGCTCACAGACCACGGCCCCTGCCCACACAACACAGTTTCTCCCCCAGGGAGGGCTCTTGGCTGGTGTCCTGGGAGTGAGTGTGGGACTGGCCTGTTTGCCTGCGAGGGTGGGAGCCGAGTGGAGGGCGTGAGGAGATGGCTCTGGAAACCAGAGTTTCCCGAGGTGGACAGATTCTGGGCAGCGTGAGCCATCTGGTGACCTGCTTCTGAGGGGCCAGGAGCTGAATCAACGGAGAGACTCATCTTGAGAGTTTTGCAGCTACTTGTTTGCAATTTATAATTGACCAAGCTTTAAAAAGATTCCAACTCTTGTATGTGTAATGAGGCAGAGGAAATTCGAGTCTCTGTGATTCTCTTAGGGAGAAGGCTGCCTTTGTTTTGTGTGTCTTCAGTGAGGCTTCGGGGAGGAGGCTGGTCCGCCTGACAGAGGGAGGAATTGTGCTCTGACCCTGAGAGAAAGGGAAGGGAGAAGGAAGAAGAGGGAAAAGTAGTGGGAAGGAGAGCAAGGAGCCCCGTGAGCTGACAGGCCAGGGCCTGGGGGCCCTTCTGAGATGGACCGTGCCTGCTGTGCTCCAGTGGTCCCTGACTCGGCGTCGTAGTATTGTCCCCACCGCCTTTCTTCCTGGGAAGTTGTCAGTTAGGTCTGCCTGGTTCTCGGAATGCCTGCAGGAATAGACTGTTTGAGGGGATCTTGAGGGGGTCGGGTCTCTGTGAGGGAGCAGAATGTGTGGAATCAGGCCTCGGGAAGGAAACCGCCTGGAGCCGGCGGGAGCCCCAGCTTTGGCCTTCCGCTTACGTCATGGAATTCCTTCTCGAGCTCTGAGGCCAGCGGACGTCTAAGCTACTCTTAATTATGGACTGAGGATGAAAGGAATTTGCTCTTCTGAATTCGGTAATTAGGGAAGGGGATGACTGGTTGATAGACTGTCATCCTGAAGGGCACAGGAACGAACTGAAATAGTGTCAATAACACCATCTCAAGGGTAGTATTGCTGTAGTAATTGGAAACCATTCGTGATGTGTTATAGGATGGAACAAATAATACTGATGTCGGGAATCGGGGTTCTAACCACGGGAATGGGGAAGACACAAATACGAAGTTGGGAAAAGACAAAGAACTACGTGATGTTGTGTTTGAATTGGAGGTATCAATGTGAACTCATGATTTACACACACACACATTTCCCAATTTCCTGGCTCTTACGTGGTGATACATTTTGATATATATTTATGCACAAATTAGGATGTTTATGTAATAGGTATATATGTAGCTCTATATAGATGTATAATCATATGTGCTGTATTATACACATAACATGAATGTATACATGATACATATTCTTTTCTCCATGTAGCATATCATGAGCATTAAATGTTGTTTCAAAGTGTGTTTAATGACTTCATAGTAGTCCACCATGTGGTTATTCTTTAATTTATTTAATCCTTTTCTCTATTGTTGACCATTTGGGTGGTTTTAAGTCTTTTGCCATCATAAATAATACTGCAGTACATTTCTTTGTACATAGATCCCCTGTCTTGTCCTTCGTTTCCTTGGACACATTCCCAGAAGTGGGGCTCCTTTGTGGAAGGCCTGCCAAGGCTGTTGAGTATGTTGCCCTGCGCGTCCTGCCGCCCTGCACCACGGCTGTGTCAGCGTTACACTCCCAACAGCAGTGAGTGAGGGTGTCCATTAAATGCATTCTGGACAGAATTAGACATCTAATTTTAAAAACCTTTAATGGAATCTTAAATAAAAAATACCTAAATGTCAGCACCTTTGTACACTTCAAGTTCTTTCCCATCTCCACACATTTCTGGCATACTTATTACCTTGAACATAGACTTAAATTTATTTAATTATTGTTCAAGCACAGTTTTCTGTTTATTTCTCCCATCCCAGCCCACCCCCCCACCGTGCTCCCCACCTCCCTCCCATTTCCACCCCTCTTAGTTGTTGTCCATGTGTCCCTTATACTAGTTCCTGTAAATCCTTCCCCTATTTCCCCTGAAATTCCCTCCCCTCTCCCCTCTGGTCACTGTCCCCCTGTTCTCTATTTCAGTGTCTTTGTTTTTGTTTTGCTTGCTTGTTTTGAACATAGACTTTTTGTTTGCTTCTTTTCATTCATTTCCAAGTCTTTATAACTTTTTTAAGTCAAGTCTTATAAATACCATTACTGTGAGACTTTTGCGTATAATAGATAGGTTGTTTTCCATCTCTTATGATCTTGCAAAAAACAAAACAAAATAGTCTCAGGCATGTCACTTTTCATCTGTGCTAATTTTTTTTTTTTTTTTAGAATAAATTCCCAAGAGTAGGCTATTCTGGCTGGAGGTCATGATTGTTTTTCTAGTTCTTGGGATAGCTGGACAGATGTATTTTCTAAAGGGTTGCACTAGCTGCCACGCTGCCAGAATTACATTGGTTTCCCCTCATGTAGGTTCCCTGAAGGGGACCAGAGGTTAAACACAAGGGAAGTGGAGCTTCTCCCACGTGTCCTGCTTTCCGAGCGAGGCTCGTGGCTGATGGGAGCTGAGCCAGGCAGCCCCGCAGGTCCCAGGACTGCTAGGAGGGAGCAGGAGGGGCTTAGGAAGGCCCAAGGAAGACGAGAGCAGGGCCTGACACTCCGCATGCACGTAAATCAGCTGTGGCCCACAGGTCCCACCGCCTGGGGCCACGATAGGAAAGGATCAAGCCAGGGTTGCAGACAAGGTAAGGACGCATGGCCCCGTACATGGCAGGGGCAAGGCTGGCCCGGGTGAGGACACTCGGGTAGCTACTGAGCAGTTAACGTGATGTGACGTAACAGGCTGTCCCCCCTGCCAGCCACCCCTGCTCCATTCCCTCATGCACCCCCTCCCCCGCTGTCAGCCCATTCTCCCCAACACCTGACACTGCCCTTTCTTTTCTGCAAGCTTTGGATTCTCGATGCTTTGCCTTAAATGCTCATGTTTCCATTGTACTCTTTCTCTAAACGCGCTGTCCAGTTTCTCTGTCGGGCTCACCTCGGCTTTCAGTGAGAGTGGCTCTTGAAGGACCTTCCATTTCTTACCTGGGGCACCCACCCCAGTAGGCATCAGCTTTGGATACAGGCCTTGCTGGGGTTTCTTTGTGAGACGGCCCTCCTCTCAGTTACCGTCAGGAGGACGCAAGGTTCTTCCATGCTGGCGTCTTGTGGAAATGGCCCAGGACTGGGATGGAATGGGTTTCCGGGGGCCACCCACCCACTCTGTGACCCTGGGCAAGGAAACACCCTTTGCCCCTATTGTCTCAGAAAGGGGGCTGGCCTAGAGGGTTCTAGGACAGACACACACACAGGGTGTTTTTATTCGTGTCCTATGTATATGAACAAGGCACAGTCACTTGGAATCCAAGGAGTCTATAAAACCAGCATCACCATCAGCGGACTTTGGAACCTGATCCCTAACCCTGACCCTACCCTTGGCCTCTCTCCCCAGCAGCCTCAGTCATTCATTTTTGTTAAATGTGCATTCTGTGTGGCCCACGTTGCTGATGGCTGGGGTGGGCATGCCCTGTGGTCCTGCAGAAATGCCTGAAACCAGCCCTCCGCTCCCTGCACTTTGCAATCTCTGACATAATATAAGCACAAAATACACCATGAGGTGGGAACATACAGGCGCCATGCAGAGAATGGTGGGCTTCTTTACCAAAAGGAGGGTGAAATATTTCTGGGTGCTACTCACATCCTGGCCAGTTGCTGTCACTCCCTTCATATATTTAATGTATTAAATATTATTACGATAAGTGAAATATTTACGAGTATATCAGTTTGTCATCCTCTCTTAACCAAGCAGGCATTATACTGTCTGAATTTAGTTTGGGAGTGTGTTATGATGCCCCCTTTCCCCACAAAAAGATTAGTTTGCTTCCCCAGCTTTCCTTTTCTGTGCCCTTCCCTTCCCGTGTCCCTCTGTCCCCATTCCTGTTTGGCCTGGTCTCCTGCCCTCTCTGTCCATCCCCCGAACACACCACACCTGCCCCTTTGCTTCCTTCTCCTTCCCCTCAGGGACATGGGGCCAGGATTCTGCTCTTTTCTAATTCTCTGCCCATGGAGCAGACCTCCCAGATGCCAGCATTTCCAGAGGGACCTTCCGAAGACCATGTCCCTGTCAAATGCAAGGAGACACCTCACAGTGGCACTTTTTGGAAGGCGAGCCAGGGGCAGGCAGACTGGTGATGGATTCTGGGAGGCAGCAACCCAGCCGTCCATGCCCCTGCCCCCTGGGAGCTCCAGAGAAGAGCCCCCAGTCTTGTCTCCAGCCAGCTGGGCCCTGCACCATCTTCACATTCAGGGCCTGGCTGCCTATTCCTGGTTGAAGAGACTTTCTGCAAAGTTCACCCTCCCACCGGCTTCCAGTTTTCCCCACCCCTCACATGTCCAGGGCTTTTCTGCCAAGCCTTACAATGCATCAGGGTGAGAGGGGGGTTGACCCCCCTCTTATCCCTCCTCTCTGTGGGGAGAGCAGCCCCCAGAACAGCCAGCTCTCAGGGGCCTCTAGACAAGTGGCCTAGGCACTTTTCCAACCCAAAGGGTAGCCTGGAGCCCCACCCTTCAGCCTGTGAGGGAGGTGGGCCAGCTGAGGGTTAGCGAGGCCAGAGGCAGAGAAACATGTGTTGGCTTCCTTCAGTCCTGGATACTCAGCTTTGCCTTCAGCAACTTCGGATTCCATTTCCCCTCAACCTGTGCCAAGATCAGGACTCTTGGGACCCCGTTCTTGTGGCAGGAGGCCTCCCTTTGATGACCGAGTCAGAAGAGATGGAAACTGGCCAGGTTGTTACAGGAACTCGGAAGAATCCTTGGGGTGGGGAAATGGTGAGAACGCGGGCTTTTGCCATGCAGCGTGGAGAGTAAAAGCGTGCATCATCCCAGGTCAGGTGCTGCCGTTGAGAGAAAGCAGGCTGGGGGTGGGAAGCTTGCTGCGTCACTGGGCAGCTTTGGGAGTGTTGGGGTACAGAGAAAGGGTCTAACTAAATTCTCAACTCAAATGCCAAACTGCTCACTTTCCGTGTGACTTCAAAAGCATTAAAACAACAGTCAACGTGAAAAACAAATGTATTAAGTTTGGAAGAAAAATCACCCTCACTTTTGCAATGGTTATTTCAATGATATGTTTACAGGTGGTTTGAAATTGTATTTTCTGCTTTTCTCTTTTTTTTTTTTTCTGACATTGTCTCTCACCAGCATGGATTTATTGGAGGGGGGAATCCTGAAAACACAAAGCAGTCTCCAGTTTGGAAACCGACTCTGGGAAGGCATTCTAGAATTTTGGAATTAATGTGCATATATTTCAAGGCAGTACAGTACTTTCCAGCAGTCAGTTTGCTCCCGAGCAGGTTTTCCTGGCCCCCGATGCCCTGGAGTGGGCCAGCTATGGCCACGGGTAGTTCACACACAAGCCTGATGGGTAGGTGGCTGCCTGGCTGGCCTGTCCAGGCTGGCAGTTATACCCGCTGTTATAGCACAGGAGATGGCCGTTCGTTTTTCATCCTCTGAGACCACCCTGCCCGCTGGCTCAGCAAGTGCCCTGATTACCCCACTGGGTGCCCTTCCTGGTGCTGTCCCCTGCCTTTAGACCAAGGCATTTAGACCAAGGTTTCTGCACTCCTGTCCTTGTCAAAAGGACCGGCAGCTTCACTGGGTTTTTTCACCCATGCTGGGCACCCCTGATGTCTGGGTTCCTCACCTGACCTTGGCATAGGCTGCCTTCTATCACTATTGTCTGTTTATTGCTAATTTTTTGAAGTAGCACAACATGCATTCAGTAAATTGTACATGTCCTAAATTTATTGCTTGTGGACTTCGACATAATGTTTATACTATGTAATTACCACTCGGATTGGACATTTCCATTTGCATTACTTGGGAGGGTGCGCTCATGCCCTGTTAAGTGAGCACCCCACAGGGTAACCCTATAATGACCTCTACCACCATGGGTGAGTTTCGAGTTCTTTTAAACTTTATATACTATACTCTTTTGCATCTGCCTCCTTTTGCTTTTCATTATGCATATTAGCTGTCTATTGCTACGTAAGAAATCACCCCAAAACATAGTGGCTTAGAACAGCAGCCAATTCTTTTGCTCACTGATCTTCAGTTTGGGCAGGGCATAGAGGCAACGGTTCATCTCTGCTCCATTCAGCATCAGCCAGGGCGGCTTGACTGGGGGCCGAAGGTCCATTTCGAGACGGCTCCCCTGCATGGTGGGCAAGTGGGTGCTGACCATCAGTTGGTGGCTTAGCTGGGGCTGTGCGCTGGGCCTCAGTGGCTGTCCCTGTGGGTGTCTACATAGGGCGCTTGGGATTCCTTACAATGTGATGGCTGAACTCCCAGAGAGTGGAAGTCTCTTTGTCCTAAGAGTACAAAGTAGAGGAGCAGGGCGTTTTTATGACCTCACATATCATCACCTCGGCCAAACTCTGTTTGTGTAGGCAGTTGTGAAAGCCTTCTCTGCATCAAGAGGAAGGGACATAGACTCGAGCTCTGGATGTAGATGGAGAAGGTTCTAGAAGAGCCTGGAGGATAGGAGATACAGGGGTCACTGTCTGGAAAACACACTCAGCCACATTATGTTTGCAAGTTCATCCACGTTGTAATGTGTATTTGTAATTTGTTTTTTAAAATTGCTGTGTAATACATCATCGTGACCATAAACTAATTTATTCAGTCTATTATTGACATTTGAGTGATTTGTAGTTTTGGGCTGTTTGGTGGACAGAGGTGGCTTTCTATCACTGTTGCTGTCTTTAGCTTCCAAGACTTAAAAAAGCATACAGTTCTGTCCCCTTTTATTTTCTCTTTCCCCATCAGTTACTGTAGCCACATGTGCTTTAGTATGTGATTCCCTGCTAGTGTTTTTAAAACGTTGCTAAGAAATTATATCAGTGCTGTATGAATATGTTCTCTTTATAAAAACTGTCAGTATTCGCGGTTGAGGTGAGTGTTCCCTGTGACACCCCTGCCACGTCAGGTCCTTTCCTCCTCCCCCAGGGTAACCTCACCGGTGTGTGGGGTCCCTTCTAGAGCTCCTTCTGATGCATCAGCACACGTACATGTTCTCATAGAAAATACTGTTTTCTCTGTGTGCGTGGGTGTAACAGGGAATAAGCACTTTATACGACTCTGACTTACCACGAAACGGAATTAGAATAAAATGTGCTAACACGCCCATAGAAGATTCATGTATGGATGAAAAGTTTTTTTTATAGGTATTCTATAGGCTTCAGCAGTTGCAGCTCCTGCTTGACCAAGGAATGGCCCCGACCACAAGAAATTGGGCAGGTGTCAGCGACTCCCGTCAGAGCCAGCGGGAGCACTGCCCGCACGTCCTGTCCCCCGGTATCAGCACTGAAACTGCAGGTGGAGCACGCAGGAGATAACACTGCGACCCCCAGGAGCAGAGAGGAGAAAGTGCACACCGCCAGAAATTCCTTCGTTCCCCTTTTCCCTGAGTTCTCCTACGTACACTAGCCAGGACACCCGATATACTAAGATGGACCTTGAAAGGAGAGTCCTCCACCTTCCCGGTTGCCGCTTTCCTTAACATCGGCACCAGCCTCCCGAGTACTGGCTTTCAAAGCCACAGGCAGCCATACCTGTGTCTGGCTACACGGGTGTTGTTTGGTACAAGTGACATCATACAGCTCTGCCATTTGCTTTCTCACTCAAAAAATACCTTGGAGAGAATGCCATAGAATAGCGTGTAGATCTGTCTCAGTTTTTGAACTGCTGAATAATGTTTCATAGTATAATCATACCCCTGCCATTTAGCTGTTTCCCTAGGAAAGGACTTTTAGGTCACATCCTTCTTTGTCATGCGGCATGCGTCCCAGGAACTGGAGGGCAGGCCTGCACGTGGTGACGATGCCAGCACTTGATGAACACAGATGCATTCCTGCAAGGGAAGGAGTTGCTGCAGCCCGGCTCTCAATGTCCCTTTTCTCTTCCCTGCAGAGACGTCTCAGAGAGGCTGTGCAGCTGCTGGAGGACTATAAGCATGGGACCCTGCGCCCAGGGGTCACCAATGAACAGGTAACTCACTGCAGATGGAGAAGGAAGGAAGGTCACCAATTCCCAGCGCTTTCCCTGCGTCCAAAACCAGGTCTTCTTCCTTCATTAAGCACTTCTCTGGCTACGCACCCCTGTGGACTAACAGCTTTTGTAGAGGGTACTCAGGTCTCCCCCACACCCTGGGTCTGGTGGGAAGCATGGGGCTGATGAGGTCGCAGAGACCCGAAGGCAGTAGTTTGCTAAAGCTGACATGCGTGTAACTTTCCAATTCCACATTTAGCGACATCACAGCGATAGCTTGAAATCAGCCACAGTGGCAGTATTTACACCATGGAAATGGGAAAATGGTACAAATTGGGATTCTTTTCCCCTAAAGCATTTATTATTGATTATTTACCACCATACCACTCCCCAAAAGTTGAAGTTGAGTGTGAGAAGGAGGGGGGCGGGTGGTGGAGATTAGGCTAGGACACCATAATTCCGTATTTTTAATCCTTTTTTGAGGATACATTTATTGACTTTATAGAGAGAGGAGAGGAACGGGGAAAGAGAAACATTGATGTGAGAGAGAAACATTGATCAGTTGCCTCCTTCCCGTGCCCTGACTGGGAATCGAACCTGCAGCCCTTTGGTGTATGGGACAGTGGTCCAACCAACTGAGCCACCTAGCCAGGGCTATACTTTCATTTTTTTAAATACTATGTAGAAACTTGAACTAGAGCTCACTGAAATACTGATGGCTGTGTGTGGCTTTGGGGAGAGGTAGGGGGATGTCGTGTAGGGCAACTTTAATGAGTACAGAGACTGATGGTTAATGTGCCAACATTGTCTTCTGTGTTCATAAACTTTATTTCAAAAACTTAACAAAATTAATTTCACATTTTTTTGAAGTAGTATATGTGCATATTTCAGCAAGTCAAACAGTACTAAAACACTTGGAAGGAAAGATAGTATAATGCTGTCCTCTATCCCCTTCCCATTCCAATTCCTGTTCCCCAGAAGCAAATACTTCTAGCTGTTTCTTCAGATAGAAATCTATATTTGAAACTAACATGTTTATCCATACTGCTATTTCTTAACTAATTCTTTTGCATGGTAGTGGAAAATTCAGGTCTCTTGTCCACCCCGCAAAAACATGCTTCTCTTCCCCACCCTCATTGCCCCCCCAAGAGAGTTACAATGGTTTGGGATCTATGGCTGTTCGATATTCACATTAAAATCATATAAATAACATTTAATGTAGAGTCAAGTTGGTTATTTCATGACTGTTTTCTCTGTTTTTAAACTTTATGTTTTATCTGCAGTTGATAGTTGCCTCTCTTTTCCTCATTAGCATAGTGTCCTTTGTACCATCTCTAATTCTCACTACGCCCTCTAGGGATATTTTCAGTGCCCCCTTTCAATCCTGAAGACTTCGGTGAGGGGGGCGCTCTGCCTGCAGGGCTCCCTCTGTCCACCACAGATGAGAATAAGTCTACCAAGACATGATCTGGTTGGGGAGGAAAGGTGGCCGATCTTTCCAAGGAGAAGGGCCAGGAGCCTGTTCCTCAATGGGCTTTTATTTTGTGCAATTTGCACAGGAATACAGGTAAAGCCCATCAATCATTGTCAGACAGTAAGGACCAAACAATAGTTAATATTCAAAGAACTATGAAGGTTTATTCTGAGTCAGGGTCAGATAGCTAAAGGGCCATGAATCTTTAGGGCAACAAACTCATTTCATGCTTGGACACTTATCACAAAATTGAGGGCATTCTTAGCAAAGCAGGTTGCACAGGATTTTGTGCTTCCTTCTTAGGCCTGATTGGCCTGGGGAACCTGCCCTAACCGCACTCACCCCCAGCATTGTTTCAGGCTGAAGTCAGGCAGGGGAAGTAAAGCAGCCATGAGATTAGGAGACTTCTTGTGGACAGAATGAGGACTCAGGCTATGTCAAAGCTGAGGGGTGAGGGTCCATCACCCCTTTTCTCTATAGCCCCCCAACTCCTTCCCTGAGGACTCCTTCATGGCTGTGTCTGATTTAGGTCATGCTTCCCTTGAGGACCCTTACCTGTCATTGGCTAACCAGTCATCTACCTGGGGCCAAGCAGGGTGAAGTAAAAGGGGGCAGAGGTGGCACCTCTGCCAGGGAGATAAGCTTTGCCTCTTAGCAACTTATGGTCCCAAGGTCTCTTTACTCGGCCTTAGCCATGGGTGTGGTTAAAGCTTCTGAAACCAGGCAGGGCAGTTCCCTACACTCCAGTTCGTTAGTTCCACTTTTTTCCCTGAAAATTTCCTTCCTGAGGCCCACCTCCTGGACCTTCCCCTTGGTGTATGTAGACTTTTATTTTGGTGGAATATCCCTCCTAGTAGCTTCCTGAAAAAAAGAGTAAATGGGAAGAAAATTTTGAGTCCTTTTTTTGTCTGAAGAGTTGTAAGTTTGCACTAAGCTTTAATTGACAGTTTGGCTGAGGAGAAAATTCTAGTATGGCAGTCATTCTTCTTCAGAATTTTGAAGGTATTGCTCCATTGTCGTCTGGCCTCCAGTACAGCAGTTGAAAAGTCCAGTGTTGTTCTATTCCCAGTGCTTTGCAAGTGACCTGTTTTCATTCTTTGGAAAGCTTAGGATCTTCTCTTTACCTGTAGAATTTATTTCTGAAATCCCACAATGCTACCTCCTTTAAAATTCATGATGCTGGGCCCCTTGTGATTCCCTTCTGTCTGAATGCTCCTGTCTTTCAACTCTGGCAAATTTTCTCAAACTGTTTATTTAATAATTTCTTCTCATTCCAAAACTCCTCTCAGTCAAATATTTGCCATCTTAGATTGACACTCATATTTTCTTATTTTTTTCTCTTTTAATCCTTGACTTTGACCTGCTGTTTGGATTTGCAGGAACTTTTTCCTAAAGTTTATTTTCAACACATCTATTGCATTTTTAACTTCAGCTGGCATAATTTTAATTTCCGTGAGCTCTTTGATTGTCTCTTTTGTTTATTTTTAAATAGAATCCTCTTCCTGTCTTGTGAAGGCAGGATCACCTCACCCCTCTGCATTCTGGGAGGCAAGGAGGTGAAGGAGGCTGGGGTCCCAAAGTTCACTGCAGACTTTCACTAAATTCCCTGCTTTTCGCCTCCCCTGTTCCCACGTCCCACTGCGCTAGGGTTCCCAGCTTTGGAGTCACTGTAACTCAGTTCCTCCAGAAGGTCGATCAACTTTCTGCATCTGGTGGGGACAGGTGAGGGCAGGAAGGGTCCCCTTGGGGCGCGGGGAAGGCCCGGGGAACCACAGCTTTGAGGACAGACTGTCAGCCCCTGCGTCTAGTCCTATGATCAGCCCTTTTTTTCTGTGGTGCCTGGTCTCTCCAAGTCCTGCGCTTTCCTGGTGTCCCTGGGGTTGTGGCCTGGCTCCGTAAACATACCTTCTTCACGCATCAAGGGATGGCTTCCTCCTCTCTGCTGGGTCACTTACTAAAACTCTGCTTACTTCCCATCCAGAAACATGCTGCTGTCCTTCCTCTGCCACCGTCCTCTCTTCTGTGCTCTTGATAACAATGGGAGGCCCCACCCCTGCCCTCCCTGTGCTGCTGACCCAGCACAGCCGTGGCTGTCGGGGGTGTTCCGGGGCAAGTGGCTTAGCCGTGAGCTCTCTTCAGTCCAGTTCATTTCATTACGTGTTTAGGGAGCGCCTCCAGGCCAGGCTGGATGCCAAGGCCTGGGGGAGAGGGCAGGGAAGAAGCCAGAGGAGGGTCTCGCTTCGGGGACTCCCTAGAATCTAGGCAACAACTGTGAAAACACATGATACCATGGGAGAGGGGAGGAGGGAGGAACCCACCCAGACAAGAGATTCCTCTCCGGAGATGGACGGACGAGAAGGGGCTGGCGAGGAGGAGGCGCTGATAGGAACAGCCCGGACAAGGAAGCATAGAGAGAGCGAGGTCCCAGAGGAAGTGACCAGGACGTGCTCCACTGCAGCCCAGCCACCTGAAGGGCAAGTGCAGGAGCGGATGCAGCACCTTGGCCAGATATCCTTGTGCAGGAGGGCTCTGGCGAGTGACGTGAGATGGTGCGGTTCTTGGCCAGGCAGGGTCCAACCTCAGGCAGGGTCCAACCTCAGGCGTCTACTGCCTGCGGAGTTGCGGGCAGCCGTGACCAGGGAGGGCAGGCCGTGATCTCCTCATTCCTAGCTCAGTACTTCTCTCTGGCCCTGGGTCCGAGGAGCCTGGGTGGCAAACCTGTGGGGAGTTTCTCATTCCGAAACTCCTCTCAGTCAAATATTTGCCTGCTGTGGGGCAGGGGCTTTTCATATTTAACCCAACCCGTCTCTGCCCAGGCCGGGTGTAGCATCAAGGGGATGGCTTCCTCCTCTCTGCTGGGTCAGTTACTAAAACTGCTTATTTCCTATCCACAGCTACGCTGGATCTCTACACTACACTACATACCCCTACCACTCCCCAAAGCCACACACAGCCATCAGTATTTCAATGAGCTCTAGTTCAAGTTTCTACATAGTATTTAAAAAAATGAAAGTATAGCCCTGGCTAGGTGGCTCAGTTGGTTGGAGCATTGTCCCATACACCAAAGGGCTGCAGGTTCGATTCCCAGTCAGGGCACATACCTAGATTTGTGGGTTCAATTCCCAGTCAGGGCACAGGCAGGAGGCAACTGATCAATGTTTTTCTCTCATGGGCAGCGAGGAGCCTGTCCATGACCTGACAGCCTCTCTTTAGGCCACAGAAGTCCTCAGACCCTTGCGGTTCCTCTTAGACACGTAGGGGCTGGGTCCAGCCGCCAAGCCCTTCCTGATCCTGCGTCCGCTCCTAGCCGGGTTCCCCTCCGGCCCATCCAGGCTGCAGGTGGCCTCTGGGACTCCTTCCAGCTTCCAGAGTTTGGGGACTGAGGCCACATTTTCCCTCTTTGCTTAAAGCTGCCTGTCCTGTTTCCTGGGCCTCCCCTATTTCCTGTCCTAAAAGCCCCTGTGTCCCTCAAGGGAGCTGGGAGGAGGTGAGGTAGGGGAGCCTCTTTCTCTGGCTTATGTCGTGA